GACCTGGGCGCCTTGCAGTCATTGATTCAACCATAAGCTCTATATGCCTAATTACTCTAGATTCAAATGTGATGTCTGATAGCTAAACTACTACCCCCCTGCACCCCTGCTACTGTCACATGTGAAAATGATCCCAAGCACAGCAGCAACAACAACAACAGGATGACTGAAAATGAAAGAATGAAGGTGTTGCAATGGCCCAGTCCAAGTTTGAAATGCTGTAGTGGAAGCTTAAGAGAGCGTTACATTAACAAATGTCCTCAAACCTCAATGGACTGAAGCCACATTGTGAACAAGAGTGGGGCCAAAATTCTCACACAATAATGTAAGAGACTGAAGATGATTACTATGCACTCCGTACCTCCAATTAAAATAAAAGCTCAAAGTAGTTATTTCTGCACTGCTCACAGCCAATCTTTGTGGCATTAGTACTTACTTTAACAAAGGAAAACATGTGTTTCAAACAGGTTAAAGAGTCTAAGGGTGGGAATGTCCTGATGTGAAGCAACAGCTTGTCTACAGTTTTTGGAGCCATGAAATGAGGTACTGTGTTTGTTTTGTAAACTGAGCCAAAGGAGAGTATATAAACTGAAAAAAGAACTGGGCCAAGGAAAAATATCAGTTGCTATTAGGTCTAGACAACATGAAGATACTTAATTCAGGGAAAAAGAAAGAAAAATGAAAGAATGTTTAATATTCAATGCAGGCCAGAGTCATCTACAAAATCTGTGTTAGTTTTGATATCAGCTACATATCTCAAATTTTTATTATTTATTAATACTTAAGAAAATCTGTTTAATGGCATGAATATAAACACAGGGAACAAGAGGCTGGTCAAATACCTTTCACTTTATTTTTTGCCACTTGGTTACAATACTTTGTGCTTTACAGAGGGAAGCTGTAAAGAGAAAAAAATGCACATTCAGAGCTAAGATTCAGAACCTTGCAAAGCTAACCAGAAAGAAAAAGGAACGGCTTGTTCATGCGCTGGTATATGTTGCTTTAACAGCATCGCTGAAGGTTTATGTCAAAGGACGATCGCACACAAGCATCACTTCATGCCTTTGGACTTTTGAGAGCTCCAGATTTCTTCGCACTCTCTGTTCACCACCAGTTTGCCGTCATCGGTCAGTTGAAGACGGCACATGTTGCAGTCAGGTTTGGCAGAGTTGGCAGAGTTTGTGTGCCACTTAGGCGTGTCACACTTGTTGTACATGACCAGGTTGCAGTCAGCCTGCATGCACAGACGGACGGCGTCTGATCCATAGGTGTCTGAAGCCCACAAAGGCTTCCAGCCATAGATGACAAAATTGCCATCACCCTGCAACCACAAAGAAATCACACATTAGATAACTGTCAGCATGCATGACTGGAAAACAAGGCTTTTATGAGCTTCTGAACTGAGAAAATTTGAAGTAGTCACCTGAAATATAGCTTTGTACTGCTTGTTGTTGGACACCAGGTAGTCTCCCCTCCAGAGCTCATCGTTTTTGGACAAGAAGTTCCTGCTCATGATCCTGCAACACACAACAAAGTCAGAATTTTATTTGCGCACATCAATGAAACCTGTTCTTCTTACATTCGTTTTTATCCAAAAACTTGATAACAATTGCAAACTTCTGTTCATTTGCAGATATTTAACAGAATGCATTCATTTTAAAGTATACTTACAGGCTTGAATGTCTTCGACCAGTGAGAGTTCAGCAAATTCAGAGAGGTGATGTGTGAGAGGTAAGATTTACATTTTTATATACCACAGATGAGGGCGGTGACAAAAAGTGAAAAGGGGGCTGAGAAAGGGGCATTAAGCCCTCCTTTTTACGCTTTTGTTCGTCTGACATTTAAAATTTGACAGACTATACTTTAATCGTTCTGACCTTTCCATCTTGGCAAATCAGTCAACATCTTTATATAGAAAAGTGTGATTATACAGCATGCAGCATTCAAGGTCATGCCTTCAGGGACTTTACGAAATACCTCTTCAACAAGTTTTCTCCTATAAGGGCAAATCCTTTTCTAGGCAGCCCTGTGCTTTGAGTAATTTTAAGTAGTACTTTGAGTTACCTATGTTAAGAATTTCCATTTCTGTCTTCTCACTCTTTTCTCTTAAGACTATAACATTAAAAAATACATGTAATCTGTGCAGTTTAACGGAAAAAAACCTGGCTGTCATTCTTACCTTTTTACATTTTTATTTTCCGGTTCTGTTCTGCTCAGTTGTTCAAGTAATACCAGGATATTAAAAGGTGAAGAAAAAAAACAATCTTCAAGGTTTTCAAACAGCCTTTAAAGCTTTTAGGATTCAACTTTGAGCCAAATTTAAGAATCATGTTAATTATGTGAAATAGTATTTAGGTTATTGTAGAATTAAATTTACTTGTACGTATTATTACAGTGACATCTGCAGTCTTAACCAGCTTAACGTTGGTGTGTTCCTTAGAAGCCCTGCAGAAAAGTGGTTATAGATGAGACAGTCTTTTTGTTAGTGGGCATGTTTCTATGATGAGGAATTTGGCCTGTAAAGAATCTGGATTTCTAACAAGTTTAAACAACACAGTATTGCATTGTTACATTTCCTGGGTAATGCAACGGTTGGGTAATTTATTACACACAGAGCTGTTTGTCCTCTTTTTATTATATGTCACACATGGATGAATGCAATGAGTTCAACAAGAAAAAAACACTTCTTTCACACGTTTATCACAAATGAGTGAGTGAATGATAATAATCAAAGTGGAGTATGCATTTAACCAGTTAACTAATGGTTACTACAGATTTCTTTCCTTATAGCTTTCTGGATATATTTGAGCTGCAATGCGAAATCTATGTTTTCACAGCCAAAAGTGTAGGAGCGCCACTGTGGTAGACCATTTTTTTGTAGTGATCCTCCCTGGCTTTCTTCATCTCCTGAATCAAGAAAGAACACAAAAAGATGAATGTGTGAATATTATTCACACATAGAAAACTACACAGAAAGCTAAAAAATGTCCAGAGTTTTAAAAGTAAAATAGAGAGCAGAAGAACATCAAAAGCAAAAACATAGAAAAGGACAACAACCCAAAATGTGCTTATTACACATGAGTAATATTACCTCTGTGAATCTCGGTTTCTGGATACAGTGAACGTATGGGTTGGGTTGGGCTTCTATCTGTTCTCCTGACGTTTTGTAGCAAACTGCACAATCCATCAGAGGCTGTGGAGCAATGACAACATGAAGAGCATAACAGTGGTGCTGATGCTTTGATAGATGGTAAAGTTAACACTCCTTTTTTAAAAACATATTTGCTCACTCGATCATTCCTGTAGGGGCATCTCTGAGGGTCAGTCTCAGTTGTTCCTTTCGGACACCTGGTGGGTTTCAGGTGGAAGTGGTGGTAGAAGTATCTCATACCAAATCCACCCTGAAAGAGAACATAGGATAATTTTATGGGGAGCTACAAACACGTTGTTTGATACGTCTGTTCAGCTGATTTGTCAATGCAAATATCTTAACAGACAATCACATAGCAGCAACTGAATTGATGTGAACACTGCTGAGACAACCTACTAAAGTTCAAATAAAGCATTAGAAAGGGAAATTAAGTGAAACTAAATCTGGCATGGTTGTTGGTCCCAGACAGGCTGCTTTGAGTATTTTGGGAAATGCAGATCTGTTGGGATTTTCCAACACAACCATCTCTTGGGTTTACAACAACTGGTTTGAAAAAGAGAAACTATCCTGCAACCTCAACATTTAGATGAGAGCATGGATCCATCCTGTCTTGTATCAAAAGGACAAAGCACTGTGTGGACTTTGCATATTCTCCCCATGTCTGCGTGGGTTCTCTGCGGGTACTCTTGCTTTCTCCCACTGTTTAAAGACATGCAGTTAGTGGGTTTGAGTGACTCTAAATTGCCCAAGTGAATGTTGTTGGGTTGTTTTGTTTGTCTTTCAGTGTTAGCCCTACATCAGGCTGGCGACCTTCCTCTTGCCCTTTGCTAGCTTGGAAACCCCGCAACCCTGATAAGGATAAATGGAAGAGAATTGATGGATTGAAAAGGTCGAAAGCACGATGGTTAAGTGGAAACTGCATCTTGGACAGAAACAGTTGCATTATGCTGCTAGGATAACTTCAGCTCTTTGCAAGTATCCGCACACAGCATGCTAACATTGAGCTAGCCAGACAGGATGCTAACGTTAAGCTAGCCAAAAACCCAGAGTGATTTTAAAGCTGACTGAATGCCGACCCCAGCCCAGCAGCCAGACCCTGAACTTCAACAGGTAACAAACCAATGAGCAGTCAGCTGCCTCTTTTTCTACCTGCTCATGTTTCTAAAGTTGATCATTTTAAAGTCTCTGTGTGCTGTTTTTCATTTTTGCTTTGTGTTTTCAGCTTTGTGTTCGACTACACAGCAGGCAATTAATTTGCACAAATGTAATGTCTTTGATATACTGCCTAGTAATTGTGGTGACTCTCAAAATAGAGCCATCCCATTGAGAATCAATAAGTGGTAACAATAATTCTAACAAAATTATTGATTCGATAACAAAATCCTTATCATCTTTCTCATCCCTAATGGCTGATAAAGCCCATAAAATAAATGCAATAAACTGAATCTTTAATGTGTTTGTGTGGGAACAGCAGCCACAGAGAAAAGGTTCCACAGAGAAATCTGTTAGAAATGTAGTTTCTTGATGTAATTCCAGTTCAGTGTGAACAGCCCACTAACAGGCTTCAGGGCTTTTCTTTGGTTGTTTGTGATGGTCACACTTTAATCTGCAGGGGCTGTGGCCTCCACTTCGCTCCACCTCCTAAACTATGAGACAGTTTCTGGAAAGAGGACACATGTCAGGATGCCAGGAGGCAGAATAAAAGTCCAAATAAATCTTCATGCGCAGAGGTCATGCAGAACAAGGCAAACAATCAAGGACTAAATTCCAAAAACAGCAAACTGATAAACAAGTAAGCAGGCCAAAGGGAACATAAGGGAACCAAGGACTACGAGGAAGACGTGATGAGTGTTATAAACACAAGTGAAATGGAAAACTGGCGTACTAAATAGTAGCATATGGGTAATTTAAAGCAACTAACAACACCTAACTACTGATTTTATTTTCTGTTTATTGCAGGTTATTATGCACAAGCTCATTTTCATCAAAGTTTGGAGAATAAAGAACATATTTGCCTGAAATAGCAGATAATCCACTGCAGCTGAGCCTCTTGGCTTGAAAGTACATCACCAGATAAATTGCACTTACGCTGGTGACAGCCAGAGCTTTATTATGAGTGTGTGGAGATATCCACCAAATATCTCTCTGTTCTTCAGTATACGTGCAGGTACAGTAGCAATACTCAGCTGAAGTAATCAGCAGATCTGAGATAAAACCAGCTGCAGTTCAGTTATCTGCCTCGCTCTCTCCCCACAGCACCCTGCATCTCACCATTCACACGTCCCCACATGTACATCCTGATGTGAAATCCTACAACTTTTTACCAGATATACATCTTTTTTGATTGTAAGTGGTAAATGGGCTGTTTCTTATATTGTGCTTTTTTACTCTATTTGAGCACTCAGAGCACTCTATACAACAATACCTATTCAAAAAAGCATGTTTTTTTTCTATGCCTCTTCCTAACATTCATACACATTCACACCACAATGAATCCTTTATAGGGCAACTCTGGGTTTCTGTATCTTGCACAAGGACACTTTGGTATGCAGACTGTGAAAGGCTCCAGTGTTTGAAAGTTTCACATTCAACACTTTCAGTTTTAGCTAAACCTCCTCTGTAAGGCCTTATATTTGAAAAAGAAAGGAGTGAAAGCAGTCTTTAATGTGTACATTCTCACAGAGACACACCTCATCCTGTTTTTTTCTCTGCTGAAAACATGTTCCTCCCTGACATTTAACATCTTGCGTACAGATAGGAAAACAAGTATGAGCCAGAATTCCCCGGAGCAAGAGAGAGGAAAAGTGTGCCAAGTCAGTGTTAACTGAAAGCAGACTTTTGGGGTTTTTTCTCTTTTTAAGATTACAATTCAATGTTTGTCTTTTAAATTTAAGCTGAAAATATCCTGCACACATTTAGGAGAGTGTTGTCTTTATCTCACCCCATCAGTGACGCTACATGTTTTCAAAGTGGGTGTCATTATGACACAAAAAAATCCGAAGAGCTTGTAAAAGAGCTAAAGCTAAAAGATGCTTACCTCAGTTTCTAACTTCCCCACAGTTTTCAGAAAGCGATAATGGTGTTGGACCCTAGCGTGGGTGCTGAGCTGTTGCATTGCCAGATCCACTCCTTTCTTGTAGATTTCAGGCAGACCATTGTAAGAATCCTGAGCTTCAGCAGAGTACAGCACAGCAACTGCACAAACCAAAAGCAGCAAACTAGCAGCCATTTTTCTCTGAGTCTGGGAGGAGAGCAGCTTAGAGAATAAAGACCCGAGTTCAAAACAAGTCCTATTATGGCTCTGGGAATCACAAGTGAAACTAAAAACATTGATCATTGACAGACCAGCAGCTGTACTCACTATTTACTTAATATCCCACCCGCTTTCCTGTAACACTCAGGAGGTCATAGCTTAAAACTTTCCAACAGAAAACATGCTCAGTGCCAAAAGAGGACTTAGATTATTACAATCAAGCCATGGTTCACTGATTCAGATCCTGGAAACAAGCTAAGCATGTGGTGCCAAGCTTTTAGCACCAGGACAAATCTAAAGGTTAGCAGTAATTAGATGAAAAGTTTTATTTTCATTTCATTAGATGGCTC